GTATCTATTTGGTTATTCTCTCTTTTCTTTTTTGTTAATCTGGCTAGTGGTCTGTCTGTTTTGTTGATCTTTTCAGAAAACCAGCTCCTGGATTTATTGATTTTCTTTTGAATGTTTTTTTGTGTCTCTATCTCCTTCAGTTCTGCTGTAATCTTAGTTATATCTTGTCTTCTGCTAGGTTTTGTGTTTTTTTGATCTTGCTCCTCTAGCTCTGTCAATTTTGACAATGGGGTGTCAATTTTAGATCTTTCCTTGCTACTCATGTGGGCCTGTGTTGCTATATATTTTCCTCTAGACACTGCTTTAAATATGTCTCAGAGATTCTGATATGTTGTGTCTTCGTTCTCATTGGTTTTGAAGAACATCTTTATTTCTGCCTTCATTTCATTGTTTATTGAGTCATCCTTCAAGAGCCAGTTGTTCAGTTTCCATGAAGCTGTGGGGTTCTGAGTTAGTTTCTGAATTCTACGTTCTAAATTGATTGCACTGTGATCTGAGAAACTGTTATGATTTCCATTCTTTTGCATTTGCTGAGGAGTGATTTACTTCCAATTATGTGGTCAATTTTAGAGTAGGTGTGATGTGGTGCTGAGAAGAATGTATATTCTGTGGATTTGGGGTGGAGAATTCTGTAAATGTCTATTAAGTTTGCTTGGTCCAGGTCTGAGTTCAAGTCCCGGATATCATTGTTAATTTTCTGTCTTAATGATCTGTCTAATATTGACAGTGGGGTGTTAAAGTCTCCCACTATTACTGTGTGGGAGTCTAAGTCTCTTTGTAAGTCATTACAAACTTGCTTTATATATCTGACTACTCCTGTATTGGGTGCATATATATTTAGGACCATTAGCTCTTCTTGTTGCATTGATCATTTTGCCATTATGTATTATCCTTTTTTGTCTCTTTTGATCTTTGTTGGTTTAAAGTCTATTGTATCAGAGATGAGAATTACAACTCCTGCTTTTTTTGTTCTCCATTTGCTTGGTAAATCTTTCTCCATCTCTTTATTTTGAGCTTTGTGTATTGTTGTATGTGAGATGGGTTTCCTGGATACAGCACACCAATGCATTTTAGCTTTTTATCTAATTTGCCAGTCTGTGTCTTTTGATTGGGACATTTAACCCATTTACATTTAGGGTTAACATTGTTATGTGTGAATTTGATTCTGCCATTTTGATGCTAGCTGGCTGTTTTGCCCGTTAGGTGATGCAGTTTCTTTATTGTGTCAATGCTCTTTACCATTTAGTATGTTTTTGAAGTGTCTGGTACTGGTTGTTCCTTTCCATGTTTTGTGCTTCTATCAGGAGCTCTTGTAAAGCAGGCTTGGTGGTGATGAAATCTCTGAGTATTTGCTTGTTCATAAAGGATTTTATTTCTCCTTCACATATGAAGCTTAGTTTGGCTGGATATGAAATTCTGGGTTGAAAGTTCTTTTCTTTAAGGATGTTGAATATTGGCCCCCACTCTCTTCTGGCTTGTAGGGTTTCTGCTGAGAGATCAGCTGTGAGTCTGATGGGTTTCCCTTTGTGGGTGACCCAACCTTTCTGGCTGCCCTTAGCATTTTCTCCTTCATTTCAACCCTGGTGAATCTGACAATTATGTGTCTTGGGGTTGCTCTTCTTGAGGAATATCTTTGTGGTGGTCTCTGTATTTCCTGGAATTGAATATTGGCCTGCCTTGCTAGGTTGGGGAAGTGTTCCTAGATGATTTCCTGAAGAGTATTTTCCAGCTTGGATTCATTCTCTCCATCACATTCAGGTACACCTATCAAACATAGATTAGGTCTTTTCACAGAGTCCCATATTTCTTGGAGACTTTGTTCATTCCTTTTTACCCTTTTTTCTCTAATCTTGCCTTCTCATTTTATTTCATTGAGTTGATCTTCGACCTCTGATATCCTTTCTGCTTGGTCAATTCAGCTGTTGAAACTTGTGTATGCTTCTCAAAGTTTTCATGTTGTGTTTTTCAGCTCCATCAATTCACTTACATTCCTCTCTAAGCTATTTATTCTCCTTAGCATTTTGTCAAATCTTTTTTCACGGTTCTTAGTTTCTTTGCATTTGGTTAGAACATGTTCTTTTAGCTCAGTATAGTTTCTTATTACCTACCTTCTGAAGCCTGTTTCTGTCAACTCATCACACTCATTCTCCATCCAGCCTTGTTCCCTTGCTGGTGAGGAGTTGTGATCCCTTGTAGGAGGAGAGGCATTCTGGTTTTGGGTGTTTTCATTCCTTTTTGTGCTGGTTTCTTCCCATCTTTGTGGATTTATCCACCTGTTGTCTTTGTAGTTGTTGACTTTCAGATTGGATCTCTGAGTGGATGTTTAGTTTGTTGATGATGAAGTTATTTCTTTCTGTTTCTTAGTTTTCCTTCTAACAGTCTGGCCCCTCTGCTCTAGGACTGTTGAGGTCCACTCCAGGCCCTGCTTGCCTGGGGATCACCTGCAGTGTCTGCAGAACAGTAAGGGTTGCTGCCAGTTTCTTCTTCTGCTATCTTTGTCCCAGAAGGATACCCACCACATGTCAGTCTGAGCTCTACTTTATGAGGTGACCTTTGGATATACAGGGGTCAGGGAGCTGCTTGAGGAGACAGTCTATTCTTTACAGGAGCTCAAGGGCTGAGCTGTGAGCTCCATTGTTCATTCAGAGCTGCTGGGCAGGTTTGTTTAAGTCTGCTGCAGCAACACTCATAGATGCCTTTTTTTCCCCCCCAGGTGCTCTGTCCCTGGGAGTTAGGGCTTTATTTATGAGTTTTTGTTGTGCTGCTGCCTTTTTTCAGGGCAGCCCTGCCCAGTGAGGAGGTGGCCTAGTCTGCCTGCAGAGGCTTTGCTCAGCTGCTGTGGGCTCCACTCAGCTGCCATGTGAACTTCCCTGCAATCCTATTTATACAGGTATAGTTAGAACTGCCTCAGCAATGGCTGCCCACCTCTATAATGGGGGACTTTCTTTGTAATGATGGGTTGTCTCATCCATGGCAGACTGTCTTAGCAATGGTGGACTACCTCCATTGTGGTGAACTGCCTTGGTAATGGCAGACGCCCCTCACCCACAGAGCTGGATTGTCCCGGGTTCAGCTGTGCTTGCTGTGAAACTCTCAATCCAGAGCATTTCAGATTGCTGTTTTTTTCTATGGGGGTGGGAACAGCTGAGCCTGATCACTTGGCTCCCTGCCTCAGCTCCCCGCTTTCTTTTCCCTGTTGAACAGGCGACTCTGTCTCCCAGGTATTCCAGTTGCCTGTTGGAAAGGTGCCGGGATCTGTGTGATTTCCCGTGCGGCGACCTACTGCGCCAGCTCTAACAGCCAGGCTGAGATTCACGTGCTTTTTTGCCCAGGAATATCCTGGCCTGGCTCCCTGTTTCAGTCCCCTTTTTTTATCAGTTGAATGGGCGACTCTGTCTCCCAGGAACTCCAATCACCAGCTAAAATGGCTTCAGGACCCATGTATTTTGTGCAGAGACCCGCCACGCTGGCCAAAACATCCTTGGCTGTGCTGGCGACCTGTGAGGCTCCTCCACCTGGGAATCTCCTGGTCTGTGGGCAATAAAAATCCCTCTGGAAATGCGGCGTCCACTCACCCTCTGTGCTTTTGCTGGGAGCTGCAATTCTGAGCTGCTCCTAATTGGCCATCTTGGATCTGTCCTCGTGTCTATCTTATTAAGCTAGTCTCCCATAACTACTTACAGCTATGGGACCTTGACAAGGTATATCATTGCTCCAAGCCTCAGTTCCTCACAGGTAAAATGAGGGTCACCATCATTTCCACCTCCTTGGGTGGTCAGGAACATTCAATCACGGAAAATCCCCAGTCTGGCCCATGGCGAGTGCTGGATGCTTGCTAGCTATGCATTTGTTTTTGTGATGGGAACACAGGACAGGCTGCTGATGTGTGCTCATGGCCAGTTTGGGAGTGCAAAGAATTTTACTTTTCTGTCCCTCTGATGAAGCACCAGGTCCCATGATTCCTAATTGAGGGCAAACATCTCTGCCCTGGGTTGCTGGACAGGAGCAGGGAGGGAGAGCAAGTGTGAATTGGGGAGGTGAGGCAGGTTCCTGGCAGTTCTTTCACCAGCTACTTGTGCCCCAGTGTCTGCCATCCAGAGCCTTGGAGGGGTGGCAGACACTGGGGCACAAGCAGCTGGTGCCCTCCACACCCTTGTCCTTGCAGCTGTGCCAGGCTGTACCTCCTTACCCCATCCCACCTGCCTGCCCTCTCCCAGACCTTCCTAACAACTTCTGTGACACCAGAGTCACTCTCCCCACCCCCGTCTTCCAGAACTCTCCTAGTTTTACGTTTATTTTATAACATTTCTTGGGTGTTGGGGTTGGGTTGGAGGGGAAGGCAGTCCATGTGCTCAGTTTACCCTCTCCACCTGACTTCTTAGCTGCCCGAGGCTCACAGGGAGGTTGCTGGCATCTGCTCTGTCTCTGAATTGTAGTCAGTGTGGAGAATCAGGAGCAGGACAAGAGTCCACCCTACAAAGCAAACCTTCACATGACTTTCTCTGGGCCTCTGGTCCCTCCTCAGGCTCGAAGCTCTTTGTTCTTGGCCTTCCCCGGGAGGACTGGAGAGCCCTAGAAAGACAGATGCAAGTTCACAGAGAGGGCCCAGAGCAAGGTCCATGAGCTCAGTGTCAGCAGGCCCTGGGCACCAGGTCCATCATTGACAAACAGCAGGCCTGGCCTCCCTCCTTCATGAGGGCGACTCCAGAGCCCTGCAGTGAGGGCAGACTGAGCACAGATGTGTGTGCCAAGGCTGTGTGCACTAGCTCTCTTTCCGGGGCCAGGACAGAAGGCCACCTTGAACCAGGTTAAACTACAGAGGTGCCTTTATGGAGCTGGAAAGTCCAGGGTTGGACTTTAGGCACAGCTGGATCCAAAGGAACCTCCCTACTCACTCACGTTTTTCCATGCTGGGCTGGGAGGGCAGTGGGGCCCCCAAGACAGACACCACCACTTGGAAGAGCTGGCTCCCCTTACCAGCAAGATGTCTCCCTTTCCAGAGCATGGCCCTGACGCTTCAGCGAATCCTTTCCACTTGTCTGGGGACATGGATTTCTTCTTGCTCAGAGATCAGGAGCGGAATAAGGCCCTCTCTGTGAGTATCTGGGACAGCTGCCAGCACCTCCAGGAGCTTCCCTGTTCCCACTGCTTCTTGGAGTGGCCATATTGTCCTTCTCAGAGGAGCACTTTCCTCAGGTCCGTCTCACTCCACAATAGTCAGTGGCTCATCACGTCCTACAAAATCAGCTGGAAAGCCTACCTGGCTCAGGTCTCACAGCATCCCACCTTCTTCCCCGGTCTATTACCACTCTTCCGGGACCTTAGGCAGGTAGACTTCTTGGGCTGCTGTGGCCACAGCCTCAGCCACCTTGCTGCTACTTCTGCTGTCACCTGCATGAAGCACCATCCCCTCCTGACACTCTCCTGGTCCTACCAGATCCAGCTCAGCCCTCACAGGCCCTCTCCCATCCCACAGGCAATCCCTACTGCTCTGGCCTTGTGCCCTCCCTCTGGCTGGACCTCCTGCAGGTCAGATCCACACAGAGTCACCCATGGCATGCACACACATGCTTCTTCAGGTGCCTCGGGTCCCTGGGCCAGCCCCGACCCCACCCCTGCCCCGTCTTCACCCCAGCCTGTCCTCTTGATTTCCAGCCCTGAGAGTTGTGAGCCCTGAGTGGGGACTGCCCAGCCCTGAGAGTTGTGAGCCCTGAGTGGGGACTGCCTACTCCTGCCACCAGCATGCCTGAGCAAGTATGTGCCAGGCGTGGTGGCCTTCCCAGAGTCACACCTGTGCTGCCCCACAGCCTCCAGCCACCTCCCCCTGACTCAGGTCTCAGCATCCCTGAGATTCCTCACAGCCGTGGTTCCTCAGGCAGCAATGGCCACACTGGCATCTGTGGGGCATGGGTGGAGATGTTCAGGCCTCAGCCCTGCCCAGGCCTCCACATCAGAGACCAGGCCATTCAGCCCTGAGCCTGTGGGCTGTGATTCCCAGACCAGCTGAGACCCAGAGACTCTGACCCACGCCTTGGCCACCCTGCTGTATCTTCTCCAAAGAGGCGTTTGGTTTTTCTCTACACTCAAGCCCAGCCCAGCTCAGGGCTTCCTGAGTCTCACCCAACTAAGGATCTCACCCAACACACTCTCTCCACCACATCCAGCAGGGTAACCAAACCCCAACTTCACCCACCCAGCGGGGTCACCAAACCCACACCTTCTGTCACTCAACAGGGTCACCAAACCACACCCTCCCCCACCCAGCAGGGTCCCCCGCTCACACCCTCCTCCTCCCAACAGGGTCCCCCTCAGTCTGGCCCTGCCCTCAGTCAGCTGCCCAATGTCTTCTAAAGGCCATCTTGTATCCTGAGGATCTAGTGGGTGACATTTTCCTGACTGCAGTGGCCGGGATGTGCACTCTAGGGGCCTCAAGCTGGACCCATTTGCCTGGGTTCTTAGATGCTGTTTGTGTACCTGGCAGGTGCCAGCAGGAAATAGAAGTGACCCTAGAAAGTCCACATAAAGATACTCCCAGGGCGGGCACAGAAAAGTGGGGGGTGGGGGCGGGAGCTGGCAGGGGATGTTGCCACCCTGAGAACTGGACAGCGACACGGGACGGGGTGGGGGGATGGGGAGGTAAGTCCAGCCTTCCCGCTCCTCTGGGGATTTCCTCCCAACGTAGGGCTGGGCAAGAAGCCACCTCCAGGCTACACAGGAGCTGGAGTGGGGTGGAGAGCAGGTGGAGAAGGCCACCAACGGCGACCTTCAGGCTAGGCCACGCCTACTACACAGCCACAGTCTTCGAGAACCCCAGAGCCTCTAGGTTCCCTTCCCCTGGGTTGGTCATCAGAATATACCGCTCTCAGTTAAATGTGGATTTCAGATAAAATGAGACATCATGTTTTCGGGTGAGTGTGGCTCTTCTGTGGATCTGGAGTGCCCATCTGACCGGGCAGCCTGTGTTTGTCCTGAGGACTCCGCCTGACGCTCTTCTCCGTGCAAATGGCCTCCCTGCCAGCTGCCCTGCCAGCTTGGCTCTCAGCCCCGGGCAGCTGCCTGCGTCCAGGCACCCCGCGTCTGCTCAGGCATCCTCCCGCGCTCCTGTGCAAACCTGCCTCCCAGGCCTCAGGCCCGCCCACCCCTAGGAGTGTGGGGAACCGCGCAGGGAGGCAGCGGGGCTGGGTGAGGAGCCTGGGTCCCGCCCAACCTGGCCCGACGCCCCCAGGAGCGACAGCAGCAGAAGACGCTGCGAGTGCACGAGAAGATGACCTTCTCCTCGAAAATGTCTGCTAAGCACACCAGCCTGCGGAGGCAGCTGCAGCTGGAGGACGAGCAGGAGGACGAGCAGGCGCACACCAAGGCCAAGCATCTGCACGCCTTCCGCGACTACACGGCCTGGAAGTTCAGCTTGACCAAAGGTGCGTCCCTCTGGCGCGGGGTGGCGGTGGGGGGGCCAGTGGTGTCCCACATCCCCGGCGCATGGGGCGTGCCTGGAACCTCCGTGCCACTCGCCTTGCGCAGATGGGAAGTGCTTTTCAAGTGTTTCGGAAAGGCCTGTGTTTGGCCCCTTCCGGGGGTACCAAAGCTCTATTCCAGGATTGCAAACCTAAGAGCTTTTCAGCCCTAATAGTGTAGTTCCCCACCTTATCCTGGGTTTCTCTTTCCTTGGCTTTAATTACCAGAGCTGAAAGTAGGTGAGTACAACACATACTTTTATTACAGTATATTGTTATAATTGTTCTATTTTTATTAGTAGTTATTGTTGTTTATCTCTTACTGTGCCTAATTAATAAGTAATAAATCTTCATGGTAGTTATATGTAGGAAGAAACCGTGTCTATGGGATAGGGTTCCGGCATGCCCTGGGGGTCTGGGAACACAGGGCACTGGATAAGGGAGGCTGCTGTTAAGTGATTCGGAATGTGGGCAGCACGCAGTAGGTGCAGGCTGCACGGTATACAAGTGTGGGCGGCTTAACTTCCTAAGAAGGAGAATGGAGCTGGAGCTAGCTTTCCTTCGGTGGCAGCTGCAGCATTTCACAGCTTTGTGGTCACACCTAGGTCACTTGAGCCCTTTGCAGCTCAGTTTCCTTTCCTGGCTGACAACAGTATCAGCCTCATGGACTGTGGGGATCAAATGTACTAATACATTGGCTGTAGTAGGAAAGAACTCTGTATGTGTGTGAGCGTTGGAAATCTTAAGTACTGAATGTGTGTTAATATTCTATCAACCCAGATGATGAAGTATATTACAAAGTTAGAAGCAGTAGAACAGAGTCCTGGCACACAGAGGATTAGAGGTGTACCATGTGACTCTGAAACACACAACGGCCTCCAGCCTCCACCTGGGTAGCTGAACCTTGAGCTTGCTGGGGTGTTTCGGCCCCACAGTTGGAGGGGCAGGCCGGGGAATGGGAGTAGATGGGGAGACAGCTTGGCCCGTTCTTGTTCCTGCCTCCACCCTCATTCCTAAGACCTGGAGGAGAGGCAAGAGCCTGGGGAGGCAGGACTGTGACTCCCAGTGAGGGGCTGGGTCTCCTGCAGGGTAGGACATCTCCGTGGCTACCCAGGGAGGCCCAGCCAGGGCCTCCGCCTGGATCTGGACTCTGGGAACAGAGCTCTTGTACCAGCCAAGCAGGGCTCTGCTCCTGGAGAGGAAAGGGTGTGAGAGACAGGGCCAGAGAGCCCCATGGCTTCCAGGTCCTTTCCACAGCTCCCAAGTCAGGGAGCGCCTAGAGCTTCCACTCCAGGGGCCCTTGGCCCCAGCATGCTCTCCTGAATGTTATCCAGACGTCCACTTCGACTTCCTCCTGCCTGGTTTAAACCCTGGCACTATAGACTCAGCCTCTGCCCAGTTTGCCTGGGGGGCTTAGGGTACCCCAAGTCACAATTTTGCCTCCCCATTTTTCTCTCCTCATCTGCATTCAGGTCCTGGCTAGGAGGCCTGTGACTATTATGTCCAGCTGGGTGAAATTTCCCGGGTGAGGGGTCCAGAGCCTCATTGCAAGTGAGAATAGTGCTACAGCAAGAGAGGCCCAAGTCAGACACATTAAGGATTCCCACCTGGCCGGCCTCCAGCCATGTTACTTGTAATATTTCAGGAAGAAACCTCTCCTTTTGTGGACAAAGAGGACAAGTACACTACCTTCCACGTCCACCTGGGTGTGGATGCAGAGCAGTGCCCAGCAGCTGGCGGGAGGCTCCTGTGCAGACTTGCCGGGCCCTTCCTCAGCCTGGGCTTCCTACTCCTGCTCACCTCCCTCTTTTTCCTGCAGAAAAGAACTTGGAGCCTGAGAACATGAGCGACTACATTAAGCAGAAGCGGCAACTGTTCCTCCTCCAGGTAAACTCTGCAGCCCCCAATCGAGGGATGCCAGCAGGGGCTGTCCTGGGCCAGGCACGGTGACCCTGCTCTGCTGGCCCCCAGTATGCCCTGGATGTCAAGCGGAAAGAGATCCAGCGGCTGGAGCTGCTGCTGACTGAGGAGGAGTCCAGGCTGGAGCGGGCCGAGAAGTCCCTGGAGAAGGACGCCATCTTATTTGATGAGTTCCTCAGAGAGAACGACCACAGCTCCGTGCAGGCCATGAAAGCGTGAGCCTGCAGGCCCAAGGGGCTGGCTGGGCAACGCTGTACCCCCATTGTCCCTGAGCCTGTGCACACCCACCCATCCACCCCCTCGCCCAGCCTCTGCCTCCAGCCCCTGCCACTCCCCTGGAAGCACCAAGGCCGGTCAGGCGTCAAGGGCAGGGGACACTACGGGCAAAAGGCTTAACTGTGTGGCTCTCCAGCCCTGTCTGGAGCCACGCCCAGTTCCAGGGCCTGTGGGCGGTGTGCTCACTTCTCTTTAATAGGCTGCCACTGGCCCCCTGCCCCCACGCTCTCAACCCCCAGGGCTGAGAAGGAGACCAAAGCAAAGATGGAGAAGATCCTTGAGATCCGAGACCTCACCACCCAGATTGTTAATATCAAAAGGTGAAGTCAGAGGGCATGCTGGCCATGGGTTGGCCCATCTTCTGGTCTCTCAGTCATTTTGCCTAGCCGAAGGGAGCACACCACCATGCCAATCTCATGGCTTTACCTCCCAGGGACTCAGTGCTCCCAGGGGGCTGTTGCCCATTTATAGATGAGGGGACTGAAACTAAGAGAGATTCAGTGACTCCCATGGCTTCCACTTGGAGACGGGTGGCTTGGCTCAAAGGCTTGCCTGGCAATAGCCTGAGAGGTGTGGTCTCCAGGGTGGAGAGGAACTCGCAAGTCACAGAGGGCTATGACTCTGGGTCGTTGCAGGGTGGGTGCCCTTCTTCCAGCATGTGGCATTCCTGCACATTTTCTCCAGGAAAACAAAGAGCCCACCCACAGAGGCTTGGCCAGAATGGAGGGGTGGCCCTGGCATGGTGACCTCACTGTGGCAGAGGTTGACCTCCTCCTTCCCCCTGGTGTAGTGAGATCTCCAGATTTGAAGACACTCTGCAGCAATACAAGGTCTACAAGGATTTCCTATACAAGCTGTCGCCCAAGGACTGGCTTGAAGAACAGGAGAAGAAACGCTTGTCTCTCAAAAAGGCCAAGGAGGTCTCCGGGGCTTCCAAGGAAGAGTGCAGTGTTAACACCATACCAGGGGACAAAGGTAGCAGAAATGAGAATACAGGTTCCCAGATGGGCTCTGCCAGTGGCCCACCGAGACCCCAAGCCCAGCTGGCAGGCTACCTGTAGGCATCTGGGCCAAATGGCGTTGCAGAAGCTTGACGGCAGCTGAGGACGTCGGGTCTCCCCTTTGCTTCCTGCAGGACCAGGGATCAAGGGCAAGGCAAGCTTCGTGTGTCCCAAAGGTGAGCTGCCGCCCCCGGCCTGAAGAACCCAGCTCTGCCCCCCACAGGGCTCAGAAACCATTCCTCTGCTTACTCCAGAGGTTCAGGGCATAAAGAAGCCCTGGAAGTTTCTGCAGGCGATGCCGCTGCGGCGAAACCTGTCTTTCCTGAGCAGCCCGCAGCAAGGCAGCCAGCCCAGTGAGTCCAGCGGCGGGAACTCCAGAGGGTGAGTGGGCTCGGGCGGTTGGGAGAGGCTGGGGCCTAGCAGAGAGCCCCCCCTTGTGGTGCCCAGGTGAAGTCAGATCAGAGTGCCACAGAAAAGAAAGTGTGTTACTCACAGTCCCCACTCCACACAGGGCCACAGGGGAATGCCCCAGGTCAGCCAGGAGGCAGAGTGAGTGGGGTCCATGGGCAGGAGTCTCCATTGTGGTTCCCACGGGAATTAACGGTGAGGCAGGTGAGCAGGTGTAGGGCTGATTTGTTTTTGTATAATTTTGGGGCTCTTGGACACAGGCCGGCCCCTGCTTGTCTGGTCCTGACCCTGGGGGGATAGGTCCTGAGTGTGGACAATGGACTTGGTGGTTTCATTTGAAAGGTGAGCTGAGGGCAAGCTCAGAGCCCAAGGTGAGTTATTTCCTGTCTCCATGGATTGGTCAACCCTGAGAGAGGCGGTCCCTCCAGGCCCGGCAAGGCCATAGGTCAAAGCATCAGAACATAGAATATCAAAGTCATAGTCACTACATGGGTGGAGTGGTCTCATATGGTTTTCAGGACATCTTCCTGATGAGAAATCTGAATACATTGCATACTTATTGGCTGCTCAGATGTCATTTTTTGTGAAGTATCTGATTTCTGAACATTTTTGTTGGATGATTAGCCTGGTTCTTATGGTTACCTATGGTTCTCTATGTGTTCTGGAGACCAGCCTGTTGTGGAAAGTGTAGTTCACATATCTTTTTCCAGTTTGTGTCTTGCCTTATTTCTGTTTTAATATTGTCTTTTGAAGAATAGGAATTCTTAATTTTAATGAAGTCAAAATTACGAATTTTTTATTTTATGATTGGTGAATTTGGGGACCTGCTTAAGAAGTAATTGCCAACAGCACAGTCACTAGAACATTTCCTGTTTTCTTTTTTTAAATTGCATTTTAGGTTTTGGGGTACATGTGAAGAACATGCAAGACTCTTGCATAGGTACACACATGGCAGTGTGATTTGCTGCCTTCCTCCCCATCACCTAAATCTGGCATTTCTCCCCATGCTACCTATCCCCAGCTCCCCACCCCCCACTGTCCCTTCCTTATTTCCCCCCAACAGACCCCAGTGTGTGATGCTCCCCTCCCTATGTCCATGTGTTCTCATTGTTCAACACCCACCTATGAGTGAGAAAATGTGGTGTTTGATTTTCTATTCTTGTGTCAGTTTGCTGAGAATGATGGTTTCCAGGTTCATCAATGTCCCTATAAAAGACATGAACTCATCGTTTTTTATGGCTGCATAGTATTCCATGGTGTATATGTGCCACATTTTCCCTGCAGTCCGTCATCAATGGGCATTTGGGTTGGTTCCAGGTCTTTGCTATTGTAAACAGTGCTGCAATGAACATTCGTGTGCATGTGTCCTTATAGTAGAATGATTTATAATCCTTTGGATATATACCCAGTAATGGGATTGCTGGGTCAAATGGAATTTCTATTTCTAGATCCTTGAGGAATCGCCACACTGTCTTCCACAATGGTTGAACTAATTTACACTCCCACCAACAGTGTAACAGTGTTCCTGTTTCTCCACATCCTCTCCAGCATCTGTTGTCTCCAGATTTTTTAATGATTGCCATTCTAACTGGCGTGAGATGGTATCTCAATATAGTTTTGATTTGCATTTCTCTAATGACCAGTGATGATGAACATTTCTTCATGTTTGTTGGCCTCATGTATGTCTTCTTTTGTAAAGTGTCTGTTCATATCTTCACCCACTTTTGAATGGGCTTGTTTTTTTCTTGTAAATCTGTTTTAGTTCTTTGTAGATTCTGGATATCAGCCCTTTGTCAGATGGGTAAACTGCAAAAATTTTTTCCCATTCTGTTGGTTGTCGATTCACTCTAATGATTGTTTCATTTGCTGTGCAAAAGCTGTAGAGTTTGATTAGGTCCCATTTGTCTATTTTTGCCAATGTTTTTGGTATTTTGGTCATGAAGTTCTTGCCTACACCTATGTCCTGAATGGTTTTGCCTAGATGTTCTTCCAGAGTTTTTATGGTGTTAGGTCTTATGTTTAAGTCTTTAATCCAACTGGAGTCAATTTTAGTGTAAGGTGTCAGGAAGGGGTCCAGTTTCTGCTTTCTGCACATGGCTAGCCAGTTTTCCCGACACCATTTATTAAACAAGGAATCCTTTTCCCATTGCTTGTTTTTGTCAGGTTTGTCAAAGATCGGATGGTTGTAGATGTGTTGTGTTGCCTCTGAGGCCTCTGTTCTGTTCCATTGGTCTATATCTCTGTTTTGGTACCAGTACCATGCTCTTTTGATTACTGTAGCCTTGTAATGTAGTTTGAAGTCAGTTAGTGTGATGCCTCCAACTTTGTTCTTTTTGCTTAGAATTGATTTGACTATGTGGGCTCTCTTTTGGTTCCATATGAAGTTTAAGGTGGTTTTTTTCCAGTTCTGTGAAGAAGGTCATTGGTAGCTTGATGGGGATAGCATTGAATCTGTAAATTACTTCGGGCAGTATGGCCATTTTCATATCGATTCTTCCTAACCATGAACATGGAATGTTTCTCCATAGGGTTGTGTCCTCTCTTATTTTGTTGAGCAGTGGTTTATAGTTCTCTTTGAAGAGGTCCTTTATGTTCTTTGTTAGTTGTATTCCTAGGTATTTTACTCTCTTTGTAGCAATTGTGAATGGCAGTTCGTTCTTGATTTGGCTCTTTTAAGTCTATTATTGGTGTATAGGAATGCTTGTGATTTTTGCACATTGATTTTGTATCCTGAGACTTTGCTGAAGTTCCTTAGTTTCAGGAGATTTGGGGCCGAGAATATAGGGTCTTCAAAATATACAATCATGTCATCTGCAAATAGAGACAATTTGGCTTCCTCCTTTCCTATTTGAATACCCTTTATTTCTTTTTTTTGCCTGATTGCTCTGGCTAGAACTTCCAATACTATATTGAATAGGAGTGGTGAGAGAGGGCATCCTTGTCTAGTGCCATATTTCAAAGGGAATGCTTCTAGTTTTGCGCATTCAGTATGATATTGGCTGTTGGTTTGTTGTAAATAGCTTTTATTATTTTGAGATACATACCCTCAATACCTAGTTTATTGAGGGTTTTTAGCATAAAGACTGTTGAATTTTGTCAAAGGTCTTCTCTGCATCCATTGAGATATCATGTGGTTTTTGTCTTTGGTTCTGTTTATGTGGTGAATTACAATTATGGACTTGCGTATGTTGAACCAGCCTTGCATCCCTGGGATGAAGCCTACTTGATCATGGTGGATAAGCTTTTTGATGTGCTGTTGCAATTGGTTTGCCAGTATTTTATTGAAGATTTTTGCATCTATGTTCATCATGGATATTGGCCTGAAGTTTTCTTTTCTTGCTGAGTCTCTGCCAGGTTTTGGTATCAGGAAGATGTTGGTCTCATAAAATGATTTGGGAAGGATTCCCTCCTTTTGGATTGTTTGGAATAGTTTCAGAAGGAATGGTACCAGCTCCTCTTTGTATGTCTCGTAGAATTTGGCTGTGAAACCATGTGGATCTGGGCTTTTTTTGGGTGGTAGGCTTTTAATTGCTGCCTCAACTTCTGTCCTTGTTATTGGTCTATTCAGGGTTTCCACTTCTTCCTTGTTTAGGCTTGGGAGGAAGAAAGTGTCCAGGAATTTATCCATTTCTTCCAGGCTTACTAGTTTATGTGCATAGGGTTGTTTGTAATAATCTCTGATGATGGTTTGTATTTCTGTGAAATCTGTGGTGATATCCCCTTTATCCTTTTTTATTGCATCTATTTGATTATTCTTTTTTATTTCTAATTAATCTGGCTAGTGGTCTACTTTGTTGATCTTTTCAAAAAACTAGCTCCTGGTTTTATTGATTTTTTGAAGGTTTTTTTGTGTCTCTATCTCCTTCAGTTCTGCTGTGATCTTAGTTATATCTTGTCTTCTAGGTTTTGAGTTTTTTTGATCTTGCTCCTCTAGCTCTTTCAATTTTGATGATAGTGTGTCGATTTTAGATCTCTCCTTGCTTCTCATGTGGGCATTTATTGCTATATATTTTCCTCTAGACACTGCTTTAAATGTGTCCCAGAGATTCTGGTATGTTTTGTCTTCGTTCTCATTTGTTTCAAAGAACATCTTTATTTCTGCCTTCGTTTCATTGTTTATCCAGTCAACATTCAAGAGCCAGTTGTTCTGTTTCCATGAAGCTGTGTGGTTCTGAGTTAGTTTCTGAATTCCGAGTTCTAACTTGATTGCACTGTGGTCTCAAGAGACTGTTATGATTTCCGTTCTTTTGTATTTGCTGAGGAGTGATTTACTTCCAATTATGTGGTCAATTTTAGAGTAGGTGTGATGTGGTGCTGAGAAGAATGTATATTCTGTGGATTTGGGGTGGAGAGTTCTGTAAATGTCTATTAGGTTTGCTTGATCCAGGTCTGAGTTCAAGTCCTGGATATCCTTGTTAATTTTCTGTCTCATTGCTCTGTCTACTATTGACAATGGGGTGTTAAAGCCTTTCACTATTATTTTGTGGTAGTCTAAGTCTCTTTGTAAGTCATTAAGAACTTGCTTTATATATCTGGGTCCTCCTGTATTGGATGCATATATATTTAGGATCGTTAGCTCTTCTTGTTGCATTGATCCTTTTGCCATTATGTAATGTCCCTCTTTGTCTGTTTTGAACCTTTTTTTTTTGCATTTGATTAAATTTTTTATTGCATTTTAGATTTTGGGGTACATGTGAAGAACATGCAAGACTGTTGCATAGGTACACACATGGCAGTGTGATTTGCTGCCTTCCTCCCCATCACCTATATCTGGCATTTCTCCCCATGCTCTTTCTCCCCAACTCCCATCCCCTGCTGTCCCTCCCCTATTTCCCCCCAGCAGACCCCAGTGTGTGATGCTCCCCTCCTTGTGTCCATGTGTTCTCATTGATCAACACCCACCTATCAGTGAGAACATGCAGTGTTTGATTTTCTGTTCAGGTGTCAGTTTGCTGAGAATGATGGTTGCCAGG